GAATATGATTTTCTAATGTTTCATTGTTTTTGAAATATTTGGTTAGACTTGTTAAAGAAAAAACTAATGTGTTATGTTATTTTTCATTATATTAACAATTATATTTTAATAAACATATATATTTATATTTTAAAAACAGTATATATTTACTTGATTTATTGATCAATGATTAAAAGAAATGGAGAAAATATATTTTTGTTATTTTTACTAATAAAAAAAATGGAAGAGAAGGAATAAGTTGTTGAGAATGGATCCATCACATAACTAAACCACACAAGAAATGGAGAGGGAAAGGAATTTATTTGTCACGTTAATAGCGTGTGACTCCAAAGCCAAAGGCAAGTCAGAAGCACAACACAAAACGAGAGAAAGAGAGAGAAGAAAATACATGAAATTGAAAGATGAACGAAGATGGCGTAAGCTCTGCCAATCCCAATCTCTCTCTTCCGAAACCACCTTCTTCTCCTCCCACACCTGCAGCAAGGTCTCTCTCTAGGGTTTCTCGCTCTAACTTTTCCTTTCATTTGCATAATTATTGCATACCGTAGCTCCATTTCTCACTCTTCATTTTCTAGGGTTTTGTCCTTTCCTTTCAATTTTCGCTGATATTCCTTTCTTTGTCTTCCTCTAGTTCTGCGGGGGCCTCGTCGCCGGCGTTTCCGCCAAATGGTGATGTTCGTCGCCGCCACAAATCAAGTGCGGATTCGCGCGAGGTTGTGGGTTCGTTGCTGCAAGGCTCTTCGGTTCCCTCCTGCCGGCCATGGGAGCGCGGCGATTTGCTGCGCCGCCTTTCGACGTTTAAGCTCGCCGGGAAATTGCCCAAGGTTGGCTTCGATACGATTGACTTGTGATGGAAACGATTCGGTTGAGATAATTGGGAACCGGGAGGGGACAATTGAACTGATGTCTGTTGTTGTCATTTTGCAGGTTGCTGGGTCGTTGGCTTGTGCGAAGAGAGGTTGGGTGAATGTGGGTGTTGCTAAGATTGAGTGTGAGATATGTCGTGCTCAATTAGATTTTGCCGTGCCTTCAGCTTCATCTTTTGAAGGTGAATCTATAATTCTAATGGATTTTTTTTTTTGGTTTTGCTTTTTAATGATGGGGGATGGGATTGCTGATTCTGCTAGATTTCCAACTCAAAGGTCTGCTCAGAATGTGTATACCTTGATAATGTAGATTATTCGATGTGTTTTTCCTGGGTTTCCCCGGAGGTGAAGTGTTCTGGTAACTTTTGTAGGAAATGTGATGCAATTTATGTATGCTTATTTTGTGTCTTGAGTGGGGTGATTTCGGGAACTAGTCGCAGTGCATTATTTTTGGTTATGGGCTAAAGTGTGGCGTACCTCTTCTGAAAGTTAATTTGCCAGAGACACATAATAAAGGGTTCTCTTTTCAATACAATACCAGTGAGAAAGACCCTAAATCCTAAAGCCCAAAAATTTCATCTGGTGCTTTTGAACAAAC